GAGCCCACAACCATCCTTCCTCCCTCAGTCATTATTGGGACCGTAAGCTGGGAGATCCAAGAGAAGATTGAGGAAGCCCGCAACAACGACCCCGGTCCAGGTACTGTGCCTCCCAATAAGACTTATGTTCCAATTTCTTGCAGGGGTTCTCTAATACAATGGATTCACACAGCGAGGTTCTCCATCCACCCAGGGGTTGGTAGAACACTGGCCCCTTACGCCGAACCTATTGGTGGCCCCTCATGTACCGCAATGTCAGGGAGTACGTCTTGGCCTGTCACACCTGTGCTCGAAACAAAAGCAGCACACAAGCTCCGTTTTGGCTACTTTGACCCCTTCCCACTCCGTCTAGACCCTGGTCACATATTGCTCTGGATTTTGTGACTGGTCTTCCCCCATCTCAAGGTATGAGTGTGATATTGACCATTGTGGACCGCTTTTCTAAGGCCTGTCATCTTGTACCCCTCAAGCACCTTCCCAGCTCCACCGAAACGGCCCAGCTCTTGATAAAGCATGTCTTCAGGCTCCATGGCACCCCGACGAAGATCGTACCTGACCATGGTGCCCAGTCCCTGTCGTGACTCTGGAAGGACTTTGCTGCTAGCCTGAGAGCCCAAGTCTCGCTCAGTTCAGGATACCACCCCCAAACTAATGGTCAGTGCGAATGCATGAATCAAGAGCTAGAAGCCATGTTGTGTTGTGTGTGTTCTTCTAACCCCTCTAGTTGGTGTCAGCATCTTCCCTGGATCGAGTATGCACACAACGTCCACACCTTCTCCTCCACAAACTACTCTCCGTTTGAGATCACACTTGGTTATCAACCCCCTTTGTTCCCAGCCTCTCGATCTGAGTCACCAATCTCCATCCCACAGTTCATTCAAGGCACACGTCACATCTGGACGCACACGAGGGCTGCATTGCAAAGGACTGCTGATCGCAACCGGCATCTGGCAGACCGGCATAGGCGGCCGGCACCCTCCTACACTCTCTGTCAACAGGTTTGGCTCTCCACACGAGACATTTCTATCATGGGTGTTTGCAAGAAGTTGTCGCCTAGGTTCATAGGCCCCTACACCATCTCTGCCATCATCAACCCCACCTCTGTCTGACTCAACCTCCCCTCGTCTCTGATAATCCGCCCGGTTTTTCACGTCTCACTGCTCAAGCCTGTCGGGTCAAGCCCGCTGTGTTTTCCGGTTAACCCTCCACCTCCGGTCCAGCTCGCCAGTGGGGGCTTGGGGTACGAGGTCCGACGCCTCCTGGATGTCCGCCCCCGGGGTCGGAGGTTCCAGTATCTCGTCGACTGGGAGGGCTATGGACCACAACACTGGCAATGGATTCCCTGTTCCTGGATTGATGACCAGTTGTTGGTGCGGGACTTCAAGGCTTCTCGTGCCTCCTCCTCATCGTCCTCGGGGCCGCCGGGTGGTGCCTCTTGAGGGGGGTACTGTCATGGCCTGAGGTATATCGTTCCCCATACTAACCCTTCTCCTGCAGGTGGGCGGTGCCAGAGAGCTGCCCTGCTGCAGCCACTCAGCTGCAATCACCGGCTGGCTATATGAGGAGCAGTCCTACATGACGTCGGACGATTAACTCGTTAGGGTATACGACCTAGTCTCAAGCTCTGTCACTATCTTTGTGCGTGTTTGTTTTTGTGCCTCTAGTGATTGCTATTTCCTACAGCAGCTATCACTCTACATCATCTCTCCAGTCATAACCAACGGATCTCTTCTCCACATTGTCTCATCTGCTCAACCAGCCGCCCCGCTCTCTCCCCCTGCCTGCCTCGCTTAATGTTTTGGACCCCTCATTGTCTTCATTCCTCGTCTCCAAGGCTTGGACCCTGTTTTGAGCGCCTCTCCACCTCAGGCCAGACCTACCCTCTCCCCTGCATCTATACCTCACGACCGTGAAGTAAGACTGCATCAGTTTGCACCATTTACTCTCCCTACTGCCGTCTCCTCACCTTCCTGATTTTCTCCCATTAGATTCTGCCCCGTACATCAGAGCTTCCTCGAGAGTGCCTCACCTGTCATCACCTCGTTTAATAAATATCATTACTGTCTTTTACCTTTGTCTCCCGGCTCTGATTCTGCATGTGGGTTAGAATATTAAACACCAACATGACAGCCTTTGTTTATCTTATTAGTGTAGCAGGACTGGTTGGCGTCTCAACCAGTTAATTGCCCATCCTTAACTAGCATATCCAAAAAGTGTCGATCTTTCACAGTTCCCGTGAACTGTCTGGTGATCTGAGGCTCACATCTACATCCAGAAGCTCACAAATCTAAGCAATGCCCCAGTTAGCCGTTTCAGCTATTCTGTTTACAAAATCAAAACTGACTGCTGCGTTTAAATTCATTGCCATTACACATGTTTATTCTGTAAACTTCATACAACGTGTTTTGGGTATGTATGGAGTAAATAGTATTTGGCAACGAGTTTGTGCTGAAGTCATTTGAAAGTATGAAAAAGCTAAATGCCTCAGAATCATCATAATCGTTTAATTATCGTAGGACCCGGAATCGAAATGCAATCTAATTGTGAGGTGCCTAAGACGCCACACTGTCCATCCATCGTTATCACCATCCATTGTTCTATCGTTTCAAACCCTTAACGATCTTTAAAATAATGAATTCATTGGTTTTTTTTTTATCAATTCATGCCCGAGTCTGTCACACTCCTCAATCCGTGATGCTCAGGACAGACACCACCACAACAGACAAATCACACATTCAAGGGATTTAAGTTTAGACTCACACGTCAAAACCATCTCCCGCTCTTGTTTCTTTCAACTGAGAAACATTTCAAAAGTCCGTAAACTGGTTTCTACTGCAGATCTGGAAAAAATCATCCAAGCCTTTGTGTCATCACGCTTAGACTACTGTAACGCTCTTTTTACTGGTCTCAGCAACACCTCCCTCTCACGCCTTCAAGCCATCCAAAATGCAGCAGCCAGACTCCTAACCAAATCCAGCAGACGAGCTCACATCACTCCAGGTTTACAGTCCCTCCACTGGCTCCCGGTAGAATATAGAATACAGTTTAAAGTTTTAGTCCTGACCTATAGAGCTCTTAACAACCAGGCTCCAAGCTACCTATCTGAGCTTTTATCCCCACACACCACCTCTCGGAACCTTATGGGCCATTCCCATGTGTACCGGGTCGGCCCGGGCCGGGTAGCGTAGGTTGTTTACATATCTGGGTGGCCTGGTATTGTTCCGGGCCAACCAAGGCTCATTCTCAGCCCTCTTCTTGAGGGGGTCTGCTTCAGGCCGACCAGGGCCAACACACCCACTGCTGACAGCAAATTCACACCTTACATTAGAGCAAGCCTCTGATTGGTGGGTAGAATCAGCCCACATGGGCTTAAGACAAGGATGTGTGGAATCAACTGGGCCAGGCTGGGGCCGACTGGGGCTACCCGGCCCGGGCCGACCCGGTACAGATGGGAATGGCCCATTAGATCCACATCTGAAAACCTCCTGGCTGTTCCTCGAACCAGACTGAAAACCAAAGGGGACAGGGCCTTTCAGACTATTGCACCCAGACTTTGGAACAGTCTACCTTCAAATCTCCGTCTCTCTAACACTGTAGAGGTCTTTAAAAATCATCTAAAAACTCACCTTTTCATCCAGGCGTTCCCCCGCTAAATCTTCTGAAAGATGGCTTTGTCTTTGCTCACACCTTGACTTTGTTTTTACTCCTGATTTTGTTTACTATTGTTGTCACTGCTATTGTTTTTATGATCTGTTTTTATCGGTTTGATGTATTTGTCCTGATTTTACTCGTTGTACAGCGCTTTGTGATTTATATCTGTGAAAAGCGCTTTATAAATAAACTTTTACTTACTCACACACACACACACACACACGCACACACACACACACACACACACACACACACACACACACACACACACACACACACACACACACACACACACACACAAGGAGAAGTTTAGTAAATCAGTGCAGAACTGCTGATTTTCCCGCCACAGCCAGACTTCGATCAGATGTTCTGTTTGATGCTACATGACAGCACGTGTTGGTGTGCTAAAGGGGGCAGAATGGGAGAGAGAGAGAGAGAGAGTGTGTGTGTGGGGGGGGGGGGGGCGGCAGCATCCTTAGGCGGTGTTGCTGTTATTGAGGGGAGAGCAGGTGCCCCATAAATTACCATACAGCTGAGGAGAGAGAGGGAGCAAACTCACCGCTCACAAAAAGAAGTTCCCCTGTTTTGGCTTCTCTCTCTCTCTCTCTCTCTCTCTCTCTCTCTCTCTCTCTCTCTCTCTCTCGCTCACACACACACACAGACATGTCTGTTTTTCTATCATAGTGAGGACTATCCATTGACTCATGCTCATTTTTGTGAGTGTATAATGCCCAACCCTTACTCATACCCTGGCCCTAACCCTAACTACAACTTAATTCTCATCAGACCTCTAAAGCCAACTGGTAAGCTTCTACCAAAAATGCTCCTCACTTTGTAGGAAACATAGTGAAAATGATCCTCAGTATGTAGTAAGCACAAGAACACACACACACACACCAGCCCAGGGTCTGCAGGGCCGCTCTAGCTCCTGGACTGGGTCAGCTCTGGAGAGGTTCGCTGGATTTATTTGTCCAAGCACCAGAAACACCAAGATGTGGAACTTCTGCTTTGGTGAGAGGAACCCCCACAGCCCCTTGAGTGGAGCCAGTGAAGCAACAGCTGGGCGGTTCAGCATCCACCACCACAGAGGGGACAGTCCTGCTCAAGCAACACCCAAGACAATAAAACCTAATGTTTTGGCCTTTGGGGTGAGTTTGCCTGTAGCTGAGCCCCGTCCTTCCTGCTCGGGTTTACCATCCCGCCCTGAGCTCAGATTCTGCTTCAGCGGGGAGACACGGGACTCCATTGTGAAGAGCAGGGCCAGATTGAGAGGTAAGAGTGGAGCTGAAGGGGGGAGGGGCCTATTTGCATCTTATTACCATAGCATGCGTCAGGTCGTATAAAACAGGCAGTGGGGGACTTTAGCTGGAGACAGACGACTACTTCACAGAGAGGGGAGACATCATGTTGGACCAGTGACCCATCTGTACTTGAGTCAGACCAGGAACTTCACACAAAACCTGAAACCGGATTAATGTTTGACACTGGAGCTGGAGCACCTCTCTGGTTTTTACTACTCGCACCAAACTCCCCAGAGAAGTGTCCATTTCTCACTATTGTTCTGCTTGGGTTGAAGGATTTACCCTCCGTGTTGCTCGGGACATGAATCCAAGCAGCTGGTGAGAAAAGATGCCCGAAACGCGCTCGTTGTGCCTTTCTCAGCGGGATTGAAGAGGAGGAGCCCCTGAGGACAAGTTCACACTTCTACTTTATTTATTTATTTATTTGTAACTTATGATTTATTTATATAATATGGGGCGCGTCATCCTGCTGGCCCTCGCCGTGACGTCCATGTTGCTGTGCCAGGTGAGTCTTCAAACCGCCACACCACGCATGCTGGCGCAGTTGTGTGCGTGAGACTGAGGCGTTTGTTTTCTTGGCAGGGCTTTTGTTCGGGGGTGTTTGAGCTGAAGTTACAGGAGTTTCTAAACAAGAAGGGAGTACAGGGAAACCAGAACTGCTGCAGAAGGGGTCTGGCCTCCTTCCAGCAGCAGTGTGAATGTAAGACTTTCTTCAGGATCTGCCTCAAGCACTACCAGCCCAATGCGTCCCCAGAGCCGCCGTGCACCTACGGCGGGGCCGTAACACCTGTCCTGGGCTCCAACTCCTTCCAGGTTCCCGATGTAATACCGGAGAGCTCCTTCACCAACCCCGTCAGGATTAATTTCGGCTTCACGTGGCCGGTAAACACCCGTTCTTGTCTGCTTCTGCTGACTCTGTGAATCCAGCCGTTTGTGTTAGACGCGTGTCTAAACGTGCAGCCGCGTGACGCCAGAGCTGAAGTGTTTAGTTTCACTAGATCAGGTTCTGGTTGTGGAGCTCAACCACTCAGGCCTTTGCTGAGTGCTATCACCACATCTCCGCTGGCCACCTGTCTCATGAAGCCATTTGTCTTCCCAGGGGACCTTCTCGCTGATCATCGAAGCGTTACACACCGATTCCAAAGAGGACCTCTCCACAGGTAGGAACTAAAGCTGTCCCTTTGCTGTGTCTTACACATTTCTACTCACAAGCGCTCATCAGTTCTCACCTGCACGTTTTCAGAGAACCCAGAGCGCGTGATCAGCACCATGGCCACCCAGAGGCACCTGACGGTGGGGGAGGACTGGTCCCAGGACCTACACACAGGAGGACGGACCGAACTCAAGTACTCCTATCGGTTCGTCTGTGATGAGCACTATTACGGAGATGGCTGTTCGGTGTTTTGCCGGCCCAGAGATGACGCCTTTGGCCACTTCACCTGTGGAGAGCGCGGGGAGATCGTGTGCGATGCCGGGTGGAAGGGCCAGTACTGCACCGAGCGTGAGTCTCTCTTCTGGTTCTGATCTGACCAAGAAGTAAACAGTAAACATGTTTCTGCCTTACGAGAGGCTGGGAGGGGACATAAACCCAACAAGATCATCAAACACTTCACTGTGGCTTCAGTGGTCGTTCTGTCCTAGATCTGCAGTCAGTGTTCCGTTAGAAGGCAACTTGTGCGTGAGACCCCCCCCCCAAGCCCCCCCCCCCCCCCCCCCCCCCCCCCCCCCCCCGCCACACACACACACACACACGGCCACTTGATTTATTCTAAGGAAAGTTTTTGAGGAATAATCTCACGCGTGCCATAAATTTACATGCTGCCTTGTGATAGGCTGCTCTGGTAAGGGGCTGGCGCTGATTGGCTGAGGCGAGGGAGGTATTGTTTGAAGTGGGCAGCTGCCGGGAGAGAGGACACAATGGAGCAGCTGTCGCGCACTGGCAACACACTCGCCAGCTGTCCACTCTTATCTGCCCCAATCTGAGACATTAAGGGGTGTGTGTGTGTGTGTGTGTGTGTGTGTATACTGAGTGAATAAAAGAGTTTCGACCCACAGCAGAAAAGAAAGGGGGGGGGGGGGGACTAAGGGTGAGTGTGTGTGTGTGTTAGGGACACACTCTCACACATCCCCTCCTTTGTTTAACTTTAAACAGAAAAGCCTTCCACCACAAAAGGACAACTGCATTTTTAACTTTGCTAAAAAGTTTCTGCAACATCAGATGTGTGATTTATGGTGATTTTTCACATAAAACAAGCCTGATGTGTTTGTAAGACTTGTGTGTTCCTTTCCTGTCGTCCAGCGATCTGCCTACCAGGGTGCAACGAGGAGCACGGGTACTGTGAGAAACCTGGAGAGTGCAAGTGAGTTCCCGCTGTCCCAGGGGGCATGAATAGACCAGCAGGACCGTGAGGTAACGTGAGAGGACTCACCGGTGTGTTCCCTGCTTTTGGATAACAACAGGTGCAGAGTGGGGTTCAAAGGCCGCTACTGCGACGAGTGCATCCGCTACCCCGGCTGTCTCCACGGGACCTGCCAGCAGCCCTGGCAGTGCAATTGCCAGGAGGGTTGGGGGGGGCTCTTCTGCAATCAAGGTGAGGAATGTTTCAGAAGATCCAGACATAGTGTGTGATGAAGAAACAGACAGAGGAGTACTGATGGTTGGTTAGGAGTCCCAGACTTGGCATTGCCATGTGTGTCAAGTCCAATAATAAACATACGTTATTACTTTTGTCTTCAAAACCTGTTAAACGTTCAGATTTTAACTCTAATCTAAATATTTCATCCTACATAACCAGTGAAACACACATCCGAGCCTTCCAATATAAACATAGCAGTTCTGAGCTAACATGCTAAGTGAGATTACCGGTCTACCGACATGGAGTGATCTCCGGTCTCAGAGGGCCTTTGGTAAGATCGGGCGTCTGTCTGCTCAACCACCCATCATGTACGTCTGGGTTCTCCGACACTTGCAGATGTTAGGTGGGAGACCTCTTCAGCCTGATTTATTCTGGTAGGCTGCTTGTGTTTTACAGCAATCTGAACCTACGTTTGCTTGATGATTAGATTAGGAGAGACACTTAATCCAGAGTCCCACTTGTAGATACAATCCAGTATACCTGGACTTAGTTCTCGTTATCTATGTTCTTCTTTGGATCTACGTTGAATCGTTCTATAAAGTTATGTGAGCTAACTCTAGCTGTTCACTAATTGTTTTACGAATGTGTCGACTGAAGAGTGTTTGCCATTCCCCTTTTACCCTAACACCTTAGCCTCTAAAGGCCCTTCAACTCCACACACACTGAGGTAGCTCAGGGCAAGGAAAACCCAACGATGGAGGCGTGGAACGGACGTACGAAGGCAGGATGATAGAAACTCAGAAACACGTGAAAAAGGGAAATGATTGGTGGTGAGGGTGTGACTGCTCGTCCTTTTGATGGACTGCAGACCTGTCCAGGCAGGATGTCCCAGCTCCCTCAGATCCTCACGGGAAGAAGCAGCTGAGAGGAATGAAACAATGTTCTGTTGCTGTGGTCCAGCCATGTGTTGGGCTGAAGCTAATCCGCATGTATCTGTCCAGACCTCAACTACTGCACTCACCACAAGCCGTGCATGAATGGAGCCACCTGCAGCAACACCGGTCAGGGCAGCTACACCTGCTCCTGCAGGCCCGGCTTCTCTGGGGCCAGCTGTGAAGTCAAGGTCAACGAATGTGCCGGCAACCCCTGCCGCAACGGAGGAAGCTGCACCGTAAGTGTCTGGGTCATCCAGAGAAGCGTCCACACACAGGAGATCTGGATAGACATGATTCTGCAGGAGCCAACGGAAAGCTGAAGACAATCTTGATTATCAACTTTTTTCTCTTTGCAGGATTCAGCAAACACATACAAGTGCACTTGCCCTCATGGTTTCTATGGCAACAACTGCGAGTTGAGTGCCATGACATGTGCTGATGGGCCTTGCTCCAATGGAGGCCGCTGTGCTGACAACCCTGAGAGAGGTTATTCCTGCCAGTGTCCCACGGGATATGCAGGGGTCAACTGTGAGAAGAAGATCGACCACTGTACCTCCAGCCCGTGCTCCAATGGTGAGTGGCGTGACGCGGCCCTATTTTGTCTGCAGGGTGTGTAGAACGTTAACCAGTGAGCCTGGAGCTGTGAAATGCGAGTGATGGTCCAACATTAGGGCTGAACACTAATGCAAAACTTCACCTGTGTTCTCAGGTGCTCATTGTGTGGATCTTGTAAATTCTTACCTGTGCCAGTGTCCAGACGGTTTCACCGGGATGAACTGTGACCACACTGGGGAGGAATGCTCTGCCTACCCCTGTCAGAATGGTGGCACGTGTCAGGAGAGTCCTAGTGGCTACACATGCTCCTGTCCACCAGGCTACACCGGCCGTAACTGCAGCTCTCCCATTGGCCGGTGTGAGCACAACCCTTGCCACAACGGTGCCACTTGCCATGAGAGAAACAACCGCTATGTGTGTGCGTGCATTCCTGGATATGGAGGAAGAAACTGCCAGTTTTTGCTTCCAGAGCACGCTGCAATCCGAGGCAACGAGGTTCCCTGGATGGCCGTCGGGTCTGGCGTGGCCCTGGTGCTGCTGCTGCTGGCGGGGTGTGCCGTGCTGGTGGGATTTGTTCGATCAAAAGCCCAGCACAGCGGACGAACAGATACTTCAGCCGACAGAGAGACAATAAATAACCTGACCAACAACTGTCACCGCGGCGACAGGGACCTGACCATCAGTGTGTTGCCAACGCCAGGAGTCAAAAACATCAATAAGAAGATGGATTTGTGCAGCAGCGACCCTGAAGAAGGATCTTCACCAGGAAGGAGCAGCTACAAAAGCTGCCATCACCCTGCAGACTACAACCTTGTACATGAGGTCAACTACGAGCAGGCAGCTAAGGAGGCGATGCTGGAGGCGGCCTGCGAGGACAAATGTCAATCCCTCGACTTGTTCCAGTTTGAAGAGAAACGCAGCAAACAATTAAAATGGTAAACGCTGATTAAGAAGCTGTCGGTTTGCTGAACTGCCCCCAACAGAAAGTGCACTAACGACGTTTTTCTCTCTCCCTCAAAGCGACGCATCAGAAATGGAAGCCCCAGAACTGTCTGCATGTGCGGACACCAAGTACAAATCTGTGTTTGTGATGTCAGATGAGAAAGATGAATGTATAATTGCAACTGAGGTAATTTCTACTGGATCTTCACGTTTTTCTGCTGCTCACAACCAATCCTGACACCTTTCCCTCTTGTCTTCCTCCAGGTGTAACAAGCCCGTTGCTCCTTTGCTCTACGGGAGAGTTTTTGTGCTCCCTCAGATGCTGCTCTTACCCCGGGCGGGCGGGGGGAGGGAGGGAGGGGAGACTGCTGCTTATACCGAGACGTTTAACTGATATTCAGAGTGAGCTGGTTCTCTACTGGTAGCTAAGTGTAGGCAGCGGTGGCCTGTGGGGAGAACTGGCCTGGTAAAGAAAAAGAAGAGAATAAAAGTTTACGTTTGAAGGTAAACTGTCACTTAGCTTCTGTTACCTTTCATTGGAGAGTATGTATAAGCAAACATTGTCACATGGCAATTAGCGTACCACGCTACGAGTCTTGTTTTTGCAACATTTGCAGCCAGGCCTTTTCTGGAACCCACACGCCGTTGCTGAGCGCAGGAACGACATCAAACGGTGGATGTTCGGCCATACTGGCCTGCTCTTCACCAGGCTGTGGACATGGGCGGTGCCCCCACCCATCGCTACACCTGTGAAGACTCTATGTTTACTTCATCGCTGTATTAACCGAAGTGTGTTTTCACCCCCGAGTTCTCCAAACCTTTATGAAATAGTATTGTTCTCTGTGTCTCGTTTGGGATTAATAACTTGTTTATATATGAAAAATGTTGCTTTTGATACAGACTTTTGTAAAATAAATACAAAAGAAAAATGTTATGATTTAAAATTATGATTTAATTTATGTTAACTTAAGAACTTTGTTATTTTTATTTTGTAATTATTCTTGTGGTGTTTGTTATGATTATTTAAGTTGCTTTTTTATTGATGATATTTTTGCAAAGGCACTTCATGTTGATGGAAATCCTTTTTAAGAAAATGTTATTTAAGAGGAATGCTGTTACAGTTATTATTACCACTTGTAAATGAAGGAATTAGCCAAGACTATTTTTCCAAATAAATACTGCTAAATGTGTCCCGATGCCTCGTGGTTGGTTCTGTCCATCTGCATGCAGCTGCAGCGAAACACCCGCTGAGCAAAGTTCAGCAGCAGCATCTGCTGTCTTCCGCTGGCCACCCCACGCTGTGGGACAGGAGTAGAACGTGTCTCCCTGGAGACCAGAGTGGATGCCTATTCATGAAAACTCTGGATTAACCCCACCTCCACCCCCCAGAGAACAGCTCAGGTGATTTACTCCTTCAGGATCAGTTCAGCGTCGTCCGACTGCCGTACTGTTGAAACCCGCGTACCTTTATTACTGAAATCTAAGAGAGAGTCTTCGTCCAGCTGTGACATTTACTCACTAAAGGTTTATCCAACATGAATGTGTGTTGCCATCACAGCCTCCCATAAGAGCGCTGAGGGTGTTTGGACACCAGTAACTGTACACCACCGGCCTCTGGAGGGTTTATAACCTCACGCCATCAGAGGAACAGGCTTCAGGACACAATGATGGAATTGACAATGGGGCAAACAAAAGACCACCCTTGGGAGTCTCTGCATGTCCCTCGGCATGCTGGGCAATGGAGAGCAACAGGAACAGATGTTATTGAGTAACAGATGTCTCCTGGCCAGAGTTCAACCACAACCAGCCGACAAAACCCAACAGAAATACGGTCTTTCTAGAACAGAGCGCTTCAGACTGTCTGAAACTTGCGTCTACCTTTAATGCCCATCTCACAGACGGATCAGATGAAACAGCGTTCCTGATATTTGAACAGATGTTCTCTGGTGAGTTTAGAGACCATCCATACTAGAATGGTCCTGTGCCAGTGTGGCTTGTTTCCACAACTGTGAAGGCAGCATCAGCACAGGAAAGCATTCCTAGCGTTTTCATGCTGGGTTCCAGTGCTTCTGTTTACACATGAGTGTCTCCTTTAAGGCTGAGTTTGAACTAAAATCCAGTTTATCATTTCACAGACGCAGTTTACTACCATGAAGAAATCCTAGTCAAATCTGGCACATGCTAGCTGTGATGCCTCCTGACCACTTGAGCAGAAATATGGAGTTTTTCCAGATAGCACCATCTAGAGGCAGAAAGATGTACGGCACCTTAAGCTCCTCTCCCTACTTCATTGATTACATCAGAAAGGCTCGTACGTGAACGCACACCTCTAGCCGACCAGCAGCGCTAAAACAGTTTTACAGTTATTATTCTCACGTGCTGCGGTTCACGAGCATTTATTCAACTGTTGCTGTTCGGCCTGTTCGGTTCGATCCACTTGCGTACTGTTTCGGTGTATTTTTTATTAACCATTGTATTTTAATTTTTTTGCATGATTCAAGCACAGTGGGGAAAAAGTTCCTGGGCGAGTTCCCACACAGATGCTGTATTGAGTGACGCATGCTGGCTGCACAGTGGAGGCTCACGAGCACATGGAGATAAATGGCATCGTGGCAACAGCAAACAAGAAGCCAGGCCTCAAAGACCCTCCCAACTCACTACGGCCTTGTGTCTGAGAACACTTTGGCTTCCCTGTTAAAATTAATAATGGTGATGGACAGGTGGATAAATCCCAAGTTAAATGCCGACATTGTTCCACAGAGATGCGGCAAGACTAACTAGTAGTTAAGAGAACGGGTATTCTGTACCGCTGGATATACTGCAACCAGTTCTGTGCAGTATAAACTTTTTCTAGCCAAAAACTTTCAACTTGAATAGTTTGCTGTTTTTAAATGTACAAAATGTGTATTTCATCATGGTGCCATGTACTCAAGATATCACCCAAATGGGTCACTTTTATTTATTTAATGCAAACATGCTATTTTGTATTGGCTGCTTTTCACACAGCTCAGCACAACCCGAAGAGGAAACGTGGGTCCTCGTTCCCATGGGCTCACCACTCGAGGGAGGGGCCAAAGGGGTCGGGTGCAGTATGTGACGGGTGGTAGTCGAGGGCGGGGACCTTGGTGGTCTGATCCTCGGCTACAGAAGTTGGCTCTTGGCACATGGAATGTCACCTCTCTGGTGGTGAAAGAGCCTGAGTTGGTGTGACGTTGAGTGGTTCTGACTAGATATAGTCGGACTCATCTCAACCTCAGTTTACCCTGGTGAACAAGAGAGTAGCCTCCCTTAACCTACATGTGGTGGTGGTGGTGGGGGGGGGGGGGGGGGGGGGGAGGGTCCTGACTGTGGTCTGTGCCTAGGCACCAAACAATAATTCAAACTACCCAACCTCTTTGGAGTCCTTGGAGGAAGTGCTGGGGAGAGCTCCTTCTGGTGACGTCTTCATGCTGCTGGGGGACTTTAACGCTCACATGGGCAACGACAGTGAGACCTGGAGAGGTGTGGTTGGGAGGAACGGCCCCCTGATCTGAATTTGAGTGGTGTTTTGTTATTGGACTTCTGTTCCCATCATGGATTGTCCATAATGAACACCATGCTCAGACAAAAAGGCATCCATATGTGCTCTTGGCACCAGGATACCTTAGGCTGCAGCTCCATGATCGACTTTGTTGTTTCATCTGACCTGCGGCTGCATGTCTTGGACACTTGGGGGAAGAGAGGGGCGGAGCTGTCAACTGACCACTACCTGGTGGTGAGTTGGCTCAGATGGTGGGGGAGGATGCCGGTCAGACCAAGCTGGCCCAAATGTATCGCGAGGGTCTGCTGGGAACGTCTGGCAGAGTCTCCTGTCAATTCAATTCAATTCAAAAATACTATATTAATCCCAGAGGGAAACTGATTGCTGTAGTAGCTCAGTATAATAATAATAATCAAGTCATCAAAGAGTTGTTGTATATTACAACGGCTGTTGGCAGGAAGGATCTCCAGTAGCGGTCAGTGTTGCAGCCAAACTGAAGAAGCCTCTGACTGAAGACACTCTTCCGTTGTCGGACAGTCTTGTCAAAGTCAAAGTCAGTTTTATTGTCAGTTCTGCCACATGTACAGGACATACAGAGAAATGAAATTAAGTTACTCTCAACCTCTCGCTAAAGTACGGGAAAGAGAGAGAAGCCGCTGTGTATGCACGCGCCGCCAGCATTTCATTTAGATGAAATGGGAATTACATGAGGATAAATTGGGGGAGGGAAAAAAAGGCATTCCAGTGTTACTCCCGACAGGGCGTAGCTTAGCAATACAAAAAAACACCTCAAACATGTAAGCACGAACATCAACAGTTCACAACATGAGAGCCCAAGAGGAAGGAGGGGGGGGCTGAGATCCTGTTTCCCCAGCGAGAGCAGCCATCTCAAGACGCTCAGCCGCTGTAGCCACAGGTGGGAGGGAGATCTTGGGAGGAGCGGAGAGCACATATCCTCCCACTCCAATCAGAAGAAATCCAGTGATCATCAGGCCAAACATCCACACGTCTTCGGCGTCCTCAATGGACAGCTGGGAGAGGCATATGATCCTCCACTCCTTCCAGGAATCGAGTGCATATCCCGCTGGGTGTGTCCCTTGCGGGCAAGTGGGAACCCCCATCTCCGTCCTCATTGTTGAAAAAATCTTATCAATTGCGTTGAATGACCAATTAATTAAATCCATTATTAAAAAAATTGGGTTCTCCAGAAGAAATGCAGAGAAGCGCTCTGAGGGCAGACAGGACAAAGAGCCTTGGGAAAAAAAGATAAGGGAGCAAAAAGAGAAGCGTCTGTTCTCTGCGAGTGCCAGAAGAGAAGATTGTGAAGAGAATGCTCAGGGTTGTCCATCATTTTCTTGATTCTCTGGAGAATCCTTCTTTGCATTATCTCCTCCAGTGGTTCCACAGTCGTCCCCAGAACAGAACCAGCCTTTGTTATTAGGCTGTTGAGCCTTTTCAGGTCCCTGCTTCTGATGCTACTACCCCAACAGACGATGGCTGAAGAGATTACACTCTCAACAAGACTTGTAGAAGATCTGCAGCATCTTGCTACAGACATTGAAGGACCTAAGCGTCCTCAAGAAGTGCAGTCTGCTGTGTCCCTTCTTGTAAACGGCTTCGCTGTTCTTTCTCCAGTCCAGTCTGTTGTCCAGGTGAACTCCAAGGTATTTGTATTCTTCAACCACCTCCACTTCTTCTCCCATGATGGAAACGGTGTTTTACTCCACCCTGTTTCTTCTGAAGTCTAAAATCATCTCCTTTGTTTTGTTCAGGTTCAAGGTCAGATGATTGTTTCCACACCATGCCACAAAGTGCTCCACCAGCTCTCTGTACTCAGCTTCCTGTCCATCTCTGATACACCCGACAACTGCAGAGTCATCTGTCAGAAGGAGCTTTAATTTGCACCTCTGACAGAACTTCCAAAACATTCCGGAGGAGGCGGGGAACATTGAGTCCGAATGGGCTCTGTTCTGTGCCACCATTGTTGATGCGGTCTACCAGAGCTGTGGCCGCAGGGTCTTCAGTGCATGTTGTGGTGGCAACCCCTGAACCCGCTGGTGGACACCAATGGTTAGGGATGCTGCCATGCTGAAGAAAGAGTCCTATCAGGTCTTTGATAGACACCAGCAGTCTAAGCGGAATCGAGCTCAGGTGGTAGCGGAGGCGAAAACCCAGGTGTGGGAGCAGTTCGGTGAAACCATGGAGCAAGACTTCCGCACAGCTTCAAGGAGATTCTGGTCCACCATCCGGTGCTTCAGGAGGGGAAAGCAGTGTGCTACCAACACTATTTATAATGGGGACGGTGTGCTGCTGACCTCTACTCAGGACGAAGTACGTATGATCCTTCGGATTGGATGCCCAATTAGTTTGTTAACATCCTTCGGCAATTCCATGATGGAATGATAGCTAGAGTGACATTAGCACAGATATCTGCCCCTGTACCTTGTGCAAACAGGAGTTCGGCAAGGATGCATACTAGCAGCTATACGTTTTAATATCTTCCTTATATGTGTCACCCAGCTTCTCAACAGGGAGATTGAGAATATTAGTGGGGTAGCAATAGCCTCTATAATATCAGGAGGCTGCAGGTAACCACCAAGCTTCACAAGGTGACGGCCCTCGAGCTACAGTACGCAGATGACTGCATTGTGCCCCTATGTCTCACTCTCCGCAGGACCTTCAGATTGTCCTTGATGCAGCTGTGAAGGCATATAGCAGAATGGGTCTGACTCTCGATACTGTCAAGACAGTGGTAATCTGTCAATGGAACACTCCATCTACATCACCTGTCTTCACTCTCTCAGGTAAACGGCTCTCTGTAGTTCAGTCTTTCAAATACCTGGGAAGTATCCTTCCTGCTGACAACAGCATTGACAGAGGTGCAGAATCAAATCCATCTAGAGTCAGTTGCCTTTGGGAGATTTCATTCTTTCTGTCAGAATAAGACTTTAAATCTGCATACCAAAGTCCGTGTCTGCCAAGCTGTCTGTATTACTACCCTCCTTTACAGCTGTGAAACATGGGTCACTTATAGCTGGCACATCAAGGCCATAGAGCAGTTCCGCATAAGCTGTTTGCAGCGTACTTTGGGGATTACCTACAGAAATACTCACTGTGTGAGTATCGAGGCAACTATTACTCAACACCAACTACGATGGCTAGGGCATGTTGTAAGAATGCCCCATAATCGTTTCCATCACAAAGTGCTGTTTGGACAACTAGATCAAGGGAAACGCTCAGCTGGAGGTAAAAAAGTGCTATAAAGACCAGTTAAAATAGCCTTAAAGAGATGACAGATATAATAATAATAATAATAATAATAATAATAATAATAATACATTTTATTTGAGGACACCTTTCTCAAACCCAAGGTCACCTTACAATTAAACAAAGATAAAAACAATGAAAACAACAGAGGCTGATAGAGCAATAAGAACAAATAAGATGCATAAAAATTTGAAACATTCTAAAGTCTAGGTCTAAAGGGAATAAACTTGTTTGAAGATCAGACGAGGGGATCTGGACAATAGTGCCGCTGACCATAACACCTGGTGACAGCTATATACAGCAGGGACCAAGCACTGCAGGAACACAGGGCCACCATGAGGCAACAGAGGAGGGGTAACACATCTGCTGATGCCAGAAATACCACTACAACCCACACGTGTTCTACCTGCAATAGGTCTTGTGGATCCAGGATAGGACTTTACAGCCATCAGAAATAACATCACTGAAAAACAGAAATGGACGTCATCATCGAAATCGATGAACTGAAGACAAGACGTTGTGGACAAGTAGGCAGAATACTTCGAAGACGTCCTCAATCCCACCGGCACGTCTTCCAGTGAGGAAGCAGAGTCTGGGGACTTTGAGTTGGGCTCTCCAATCTCTGGTGCTGAGGTCACTGAGGTGGTCAAAAGGCTCCTCTGTGGCAAGGCTCCGGGGCTGGATGAGATCCATTACAGTTCCTGAAGGCTCTGGATGTTGTAGGGCTGTGCTGGCCTGTTTTGTGTTGTAAAGACATCATTTCCTTTCTCAGATTTCGTGACGTTTCTCTTCCATGTGGAGCCGTTGCTGACAGCATGAAATGGGAAGGGCTTTTCTGCCCGGTAATGCCCGTTCATAGTCACCTGTCTGCTGGACACCTCTTAAACGAATCATTAGACTCACCTGTGGTTGAAGGCCTGTTAATTTGAATGTTGTAGTCTTAAGTGCTGCTTTTCTCCTAAGAATATTAAGGGGTATTCATTGGGCTTGAATATATTTGTTAGGAAAATCACTTTTTTGTGTGTGAAAATGAACAAATCATGTTTGTAATCAATGGCCGCATTAGTGGGACTATTCTGTAGTATGGTGTCTCATAGAACATGTAGATTCTGAAAGGGAATTGAGCACTATGTGTGTGTATTATGTATTATATACATATATATATATGTATTTATATCTCAACAGGTTGGGCTGGTTGTCCAGTAGTCAGAAGGTTGCAGGTTCAATCCCAGCTCTGGACAGAGAATGCTGCTGTGTCTTTGGCCAGGACACTTAACCTGGCCTGCTGGAGGTGCTCAGAGGGCACCTTGCTCGGCAGCCTCGCCTGTGTCAGTGCGCCTGAGAGCAGCTGTGGCTACATCGTAGCTTATCACCATCAGCGTGTGAATGTGTGTGAGTGGATGAATGATACACTGTAAAGACCTCTGGAGTCCTTACTCTGAGAGGCGCTACACAAGTGCGGGTCGATTATCTTATATAAAGATGTACTTTTCCATGAAACAGGTTGCCAACTCTGTATCAGTCTAGATATGTGCTCTCACACATGCTCTGTGATGGACATCTGTATTTAAGCAGGTGTTTACAGCTATAGGTTGATGCTGAGGGCTGGTCAAGTCAAGTGGGCTTAGCGACAACATATCACAGTATTGGGTCAGACTAGTACTTTTATGCATTTGTAAAAAATCATCCTTGATTCCCAAAAGGTGGAAACTCTGGATTGCAGCTTTGGTGTCTGACTCTACCGAAACACCAATGACGATTATTTTTGAGCCACTTCAACACAACAACATGAAGAAGAGAGGGCTTCATGTCTGGTGCACGGGCGAGTGAACCCCTCCAGACTCCGGCTGTTCCATCATTATTTACAGGAGACCAGCCACAGTCGCAGGTTCATGGAGAAACGTTGTTTTCTGAGGCGGTTTAGACCCAAACCCACTTTTCTTTATAGATGACCATTTAGATCAGGGCTACTTGAATACAAGTGGCCGTGGGGCCACATTTAAAATGTCCTACGAATTAGAGGACCGGACCGGTCAGTCCGTGTCCGTGTGTGTGTGTGTGTGTGTGTGTGTGTGTGTACTGCAGTTCAGATAGATGACTGGAGCAGCTCAGATGTTTATTAAACCCAGAAAAAGGAGACGATCAGGAGAAGAGTCTGGCTCTGGAGCCATACAGGTCTCTTTATTTGGACAAAGAAATCTTTGAAATCACTCAGTTTTGAAATTCAGGTAATTCATCGAGTACAACATCTAAGTTCTAGGAAAAGAGTTGAAATCATGCCTTTAGTCTTTTCTACATAAACTAGTAGTTTTCAGATGACAGGTGTTTTTCTTTCTTTCCTTTTTTTAATGAAAAATGACTTTTTTTCCTGACATGTTTAACCTGTGTTAAAGAAATACTCATGTAGAAAAACAAATATGCCTCTCCACCAAGTCAAAACAGATGAAAGGCCTAACACAGTACATTACAATGCGCTGACATGGCTTCAAAGCACACAGATTACAGTACTGTACACGGGTCTGGCCCAGACTAATGCAACAAAAGCACACCCACTGCTGAGAATGACGCCCACCTCTAGAACCGCCCCACACTGCGTATTCACCCAACCCGAGCCCGGCGTGGCGTTGGCAATGAGGTAACGTTTCCAAAAAGCACCAAAGGTTTGGCCTTAACATTTACACGTAGCTTATAAACAAGAACAAGTGGCTCCAGCTTCTCCTGAACGTTTGTTTTTATTTCATCCATGACGCTGGAGAGCCAAGCGGAGGTTTCAGGAGCCAATCAGCTCACCTGCCAGGCCTGCTCCGGGTAAATAGGCAGTATCTGTCCACATCTACAAACGGACATTTAATGTCAGCATTTATAGTGAAATCCAGACAGAGCGGGTCTGCTGAATTCACTCTTCTACATGAAAACCTTCATTAAAGTGATTTTTTAGCCTTTTTCATCACTCACAAAGTTTCCACGCTGTTGAGGAGATCCACACAAAAAGCTGTCAATAGAAGGCTCTTACAAAGCTTAGGTAAAGTACTGCGTTTCATATAATGCTCCAAAAAAACAACATTGAGGTAAATGTGTGAAAAGTAAAAGCAAAGATATATAATGTCTTTCAAAAGTCACCTTTAAGGTGTTCATAATCAGAAGAATGGAAACAATCTTGGGCCAAATATCTTCTGGGACGACAATCTCTAGATCTAAGTCATGTGCAAACTCAACTGTGCATAGAGACCAAATCCTACCAAATATTAACGTGATAGCTGAAGGTACCACAAGTTTAGCTGGGTCAGAACCTGGATGGGTGATTGTACTTGTTACGATTGATTCAGTTCCTCTAAATGAGAAAAACTTTTGTTTTATTTTTATTAAGCAACAAACACTTTTTATTTAGAATAATCCAAAACATTCCCCTAAAAACAGCCAAACACTGAGTAAAAAGTCCTGATGAACGTCCTCCGGCGGGTTGCTAATGCTGCGCCTGACTTCTGCACCAACCTCCTGCGGATGTTCAAACGTTAGCAAGCGTTTCAAAAGTAAACGGCTCTTTTTAGCTTTAGTTTCACTCTTTCTTTGTTTGATGTAGCTTAAAAGACATGAAGCACAATGCCTGTTCTTGGACCACAGAGGTAATTGTTGGTGTGTGTGTGTGTGTGTGTGTGTAAAACATGCTGAAATGGTCCCCAAACAGCCTAGAAGAGAACGTAGCGACCCTCTGAGGCGTCGGAGGCGTGTCTGGGTCTGAGGTATATGATGCTGGGGCTGACTGCTGCTGCCGGTGGGAAGTCTGACGATGACGACGAGCTTCATCCACTCTGCTGTGCTGCGTCTGACAGTCTGCTCCACAACTCCTCCTGCTCTACTCTAATCTCAATATGCACTAACTCTCTCCCTTCCATGAACATCAACACTTTGCTCCTGAATCAAGAGAGCTCCATTCACCACCAGTTCAGTTCATCCAGGAGTCGACAGGAAGTCCTTTAGTACACCGTTCAGCTTTTACAGTGTACTTCCTGTCAATTCTTCTTCTGCTGCAGCGGAGTTGTTTTCTCTGCAGCGCCGCCGGCTGTTTAGGGCTAGGACTGCGGCGGGAGGGAATACTCACGTAAATGTCGGCCTGTTGAGTGCCCGGACGTCCCGTTACTAACTCTCTTTGTCAGCTAAAACCGATATTCTCTAGAATAACGCACGTCGCTGCTTTCCTACCACCCAGCTGATACTACAGTGTTGGAGGCAGCAAATCTATGACCTGAGTTCAGATTTGTCTTTGAAGATGTAGCTCATCCATGGCCGTGTTTCCACTCTAGAATCCTTTCAAAATAAAATGACTCACTTAGGTTTTATTTTGTCAGCGGTTGAGTTGAAGGATACGCCCCTGCCAGGTGGTTAGAAGCTACTTGGTTCATTAGTGACCCCTAGTGGTGTAAAAACCCACAGCCACAGCTCAGACATGAACACAATGACCTAGGTCACTGCCCTCAGTCTCAAAGTGGTGCGACTGAACCGTGTGTCGCTTTCTGGGCTGCAGAAGCCCGATGCTGACCATCAGCCTGTACGGACCGGGTCCATTTGCTCCTTTTTCCTGGGTTTTTGTCTTCTTGTGGCACTGATAGAGGAGATATTATTTATGCTGTGACTGAGGCACATTTGACTCATTCCCTTTCTCTGATTAGGTCAGAGCAGACGGAAAGCCTTTGAACAGCCTAATGGTGACATAAGGAGGATTTCCAGATGTCGGGACATCCCACTATCTCCAGGTGGTCTAAAGCACTAACGAGGGTTTGGTGTGGAGTGGGGCTGGGCATCGGCGGAGTTTGAACAGCTCCGACTCCAGTTCCCCAGCAGCTAGCAATTCTCCATTCTGGTTCTTTGAAGTCAAAAGCGTTAGGTGTTTTAAAGAGCCGGCTAACCTTAGGTCGAACTTCTCCACGCATTTTAATTCATGCTTTAGAGCGCAAACGCGTCTTCTTCACCGCTATTTGGTGTGCACTTAATCCGGCCGGCAGACGACATCAAGGCTAGGAATCGGAATTAAAACCATTCCAAGTAAAACTAGAAACTAATAGAATCGGTGCTCGATGCCGAACCCTAGTGTGGAGGAACCGATCCACACACACACACACACACACCTAAACTAAACCAGCACAGGGTGGAGCAGCCCTACAGGTCTACGTTTTAGAGCAAGTCACCCCAATCAACTTATTTTGCTGATAACCTTCATAAACGAGCGTCTGATCGTGCTGTGGACACGTGTAGTCCTTATTTGCATATTTTAGTGCGTCTGTTAAGTACGTGTCACTGCCGCAGCGCTGCCATCTTGGTCCGCCAGGCAACGCCTCCTTTTACAAACAGCAAAGGTGGGCGGGCTAAGACTTGTAGGGGGTGACTTGCTCTTTAAACGTCATACACTTGTAAAGGCAGATTCTCCCAGTGCTTCTTGGCGATCTAGTGTTGTTATCTGGAAGCGACCACAAACGTGATGTTACCTCCTGCAGGAACTACAGACAGAGCAGCTAAGTCCCGTGTACGGTCATGGTTATTCCCCGTGATGGATGCTATGCCAGCCTTGTTTAACGTAGCCTACAGCTCTAATAATCAATGATAATCTAGATTTTGACTCACAACACTGTAGTTAGCTGTCCTGAATGAAATGAACCGATGGTGAATGTAACTCGAATCGCGACCCCGTCTGAATGTCTTTGGTGACTCCCTGCTCCTCTTAAACAGGGTTCCTATACGTTTCTGCTCAAACAGACGTTGTACGTTTTAAATGGCTGCTGAACATCATGTGACCACTGAGCACGTGGCTCATCAACCTACAAATGTCACATCACAAGGATAAAAAAGACCTACAACTACCAAGGTATGTTTTGGAAATTGACTCCCCTCCCCTTCAAATTCCTAAAGACATTTCCACAAATCCAAAACATTTATAGATTTACACAATTTGAAAGATTATTAAAAGGACTTACAGCCCTGTGCTGTGCAGGAACCCTGACTGATGGTGGCATAAAGCTAAAACACTGACACTTGTTAGCTTTCACCACCAAAAACAAAAAGTTTACGAGGTTTTTAAGATCAGTTAAGTGTTTATTTGAGGAATGGGCTCACTAACCTCCTCCTCCTCTCTCCTGAATTTCCTTTTCTCTACTTTAGGTGGAGGAAGCTCCATGGCCAGGCATGTTAGCCATGCCACAAACCATGCCGGCCGCGCTAGCCATACCTGAGGCCCCTCCCATGTTGGGAGGACTGTGCTTGGTAGGTGAGGTCATGTCGGCTACACGCCCCTGACCCGGGCCTGGGGTCTGGGTGGTGTGGTGGGCATGCTGCAGGGCGTGGCGCTCCAGCAAGGTACGGTGGGTGAAGGCCCGGTGGCACACGTTGCACTGGAAAGTGCGTTCGGCACGGTGGGTGCGCATGTGCACATTGAGCGAGCTCTTCTGGGTGAAGCGCTTGCCACACATGGTGCACTGGAAGGCCCTGACTCCAGTATGCACCACCATGTGTTTCAGGAGGTAGTCACGCAGGGAGAAGGAACGCCAGCAGATGGAGCACTGGTGAGGTTTCTGACCTGAAGAGCGAGGGTGAGGGAGATGTGCACGCACACGCACACACACACACACGCACACACATACACAAAGCAGGTGTTAAGTCAAATGGTTTAGGTGGAAAAGCATCAGTGATGACCTCAGAGACAAGATGCATCAATCTGGAAGAGGTCAAAGGTCAATTCCAAACTATCTGTAGTCCATCATTCAGAAAGAAAGATGGAAAACATTTAACTTAAGACTTCTGATGTTCTCAGGAGAAGATGTCCTAGTGAGTTCACCCCAAGGTCAGAGAATTACCCAAAACCCAAGAGCTTCATCTCAGCCTCTACAGACCTCAGTCAGCAGGCTAAAGGTCAAAGGTCACGGCAGGATGATGAGACAGTCAGAACATGTCTGGCCCGTTAGAAGGAAGCCTCTCTAAAACAAGATGGCAGGTGGACTCGGGGTGAATGCAGGGACCTCAAAATTAAATTGAAGACTTTTTAACACTTTCGAAAAATAAAATTAAGAGTTCATTGCAATGAACCTATCAACAGCCTTCAGAGAGTACAGACACTTTTTTTTCTCAGCTCCCTTATCTGCTTCCCCAAGGCTCTTGTCCTGTCTGCCTACAGAGCACTTCTCTGCATTTCTCCTGAAACCACTACTCTTTTTTGGAAAATGGACTTAATTAACTGGTCATTCAAAGTGATTGATAAGATTTTTTCTACCATGAGAATGGAGATGGGGGCTCCCACCTGTCCCGAGGGGACATTCGCAGCGGGATATGCACTCGATTCTTGGGAGGTCTGGCGAATCGTGTGCCTCTCTCAGCTGTCCATCGAGGACGTGGAAGATTTGTGGATGTTCGGCCTGATGATCACTGGATTTCTTCTGATTGGAGTGGGAGGATATCTGGTTTCCTGGAAATTTGGGAAGACGGGAGCGATTGGAGTGCGACCCGCACCCACGTAATGTGCCGCCCGTGCGGTGACCTCACAGACTGGGACGTTACTCGAGGTGAACGGTAAGCTGGACAATGTCCTCGTGGCGTTGCCTGTGTTAGTGCGCAAGATGGATGTCATCTCGGAGAGGGTCGCCGGACGATGTGTGGATGTTTAGAACGTATAATTGGCTTCACTGGTGGACATGAATGACCACTTATAGACTCCAAGGCAGAGAGGAAAATTATCTCTGCCTGCCCCAAACAAAGTCATGTTTATCCTTATCTGACGCCATAGCAGCCTCTCAAGGCTGCTCAACACACTCCCACGAAAGGAGGAATGCTGACAGATGCTGTGTCCCAACCTTCCCCCCCTGCCTTCAGATTGTGACTTCTGCTGAGGTCAGCGACCTGCGGGAAACTCAATGTGCTCTCTGTTCCTTATCTCTCCCTCCCACCTGTTGGTCTGCAGCTGGTTGATGCGCCGTACCAGCAGCTCCCATTGGCGGCTTCAGGATCCCGCCCAACCCCGCCTCCCCTTTGGACCCTGATGTTGTATTTGTGCTGTTTGTGCTTCTATGTTGAGGAGTTTTTTTTTGTATAATAGAGTTACTCCCCGCTGGGTCTAACTCTGCTATGCCTTTTTTTTTTACCTACCCCCACTTATCCTCATGTAACACCCTTTTCATCTATTAAGGTAGCGCGACTCATGTTGCGAATGACCACAGTCACCAATTCTTGTCATGTGTCTTACCCATGTACAGTATGTCTGATCTCTGAACTGTGTGCACTGAAACTCAATTTTGTTTCTGTGTATGTCCTGCACATGTGGTGGAAATGACAATAAAAACGACTTTGACTTTGAACTGTCAATCACTCATATATAGTTTTAAAATACTGCCTTGCGTTGCTTCCCACTTCAGGGTTACGACACCCGCGACAGCGAGGCTGTAGCGGTGTAACGTAAAGCCTGATGGTACAAAAACACAAGCAAACCGCAACCAGATAGTTCATCTGTAACATCATCAAATTATCATTATATAACTGATGTCTTATATATTCTATTTGAATTCAAGTGGAGCAAGCAAACAGCAAAAGCCAGTTCCTCTGCAGCTACCACATCTTCACTCGGGCTGGACCTTCTACTGTGGCTCTGAGTAACTTTAGCTACATTTACCTTAAACATAAATACAGACAGGCCCACTATAAAACAGTGAAGATTCAAGCAGCTTTTTAAATATTTACTGAATATTTACCATATTTTCCGGAGTATAAGTCGCACCAGCCATAAAATGTAAAATGAAGAAGAAAAAAACATAAATAAGTTGCACTGGACTATAAGTCGTATTTTGGGCGGACATTTTATTATTTTTCTTACAAAATCTGAGACCAAGCGTTTCACATTGCAAGACAAGTACCCGTAACAATAACAGAATAAACAGCCAGCTGTTGCATCAGCGGTAAGCGCAGCAGCGCACCACGGTCTCCAGCAGAGAATGGCGGCGTTTCAAACCCTCCCAGCGGGCGGGGAGAGCTCATTCCTGGGTCGGAGCCGCCCGCAGCAGCGCGGTATAGCCTACATAATTTGGTATATAATTCACTTTGGTATGTAAGTCGCAGGACCAGCCAGACTATGAAAAAAAAGTGCGACTTCTAGTCCAGAAAATACGGTATAATGACTTTCCACAACAGAATGACAGTAAAAGTACCAGTAACATCTTTAGATCAATTTGTTTATTTTCCACTAATAAGATCTCATTGAGAACAGATCCATACTGTGTTGCAGGTTTTTCTTCTTCTTCATTTCAAATCTATTCTATAACATATGAAGGGAAGACTTGCCTAAAAGGGTTTAGCCTGTATGTATCTGAAACAACAACCACAGCATGGACCTGTCTAATTCCTGGGACAGCTGTTTTTGATTTCAACACCTGAATTCAACTCCCCCAGAAGAACAAGAGCACAAGCCTCGGGGAACGTCAGTAAAGGCTGAAAGTGAAGGGAGAAAACCCCAACAGAAAACTGTGGTACTTGGAGGGGATTTTGTTGTTTGATTTCACAAACTTTAAGCTCCAGCTCTAGGGCTCTTTCTCTTCTTCCTCTTGGAGAGTACAGACTCCAACCCTTTTCTCCTCCCGTATCTTTTCCCAAGGCTCTTGTCCTGTCTGCCTACAGAGGGCTTCTCTGCATGTCTCCTGAAAACTACATTTTTAATAAATCATGGATTTGATCAACTGGTCATTCAACGCAATTGACAAGATTTTTTCAGCAACGAGAACAGAGCAGGGGGCTCCTACTTGTCCAGATGGAACGCACCCAGTGGGCTTTATTCTGGACTCCTGGAAGGAGTGGAATATTATTTGCCTTTCCCAGCTGTCCATGGAGGACATCAAAGACGCATGGATTTTTGGCCTGATAATTACTGGATTTCTTGTATTTGATGTGGGAGGATTTCTGATATTTTAGAAAATTGGGAAGTCGGGGGCGGTTGGAGTGCCACCTGTACCCATGGAAAGTCCCAGTCGTGTGAAGACTGCTCAGACTGGGACGCTGCTCAAGGTGAATCAACAGCTAGAGGTTCTGGCCGCAATCCCCGTGTCAGCGTGCAAAGTGGATGTGATCTTGGAGAAAGTCCCTGCGTGATATGGAAAAGTTTAAGTCCATCCATCCATCCATTTTCTGAACCCGCTTTGTCCAAGTAGGGTCGCGGGAGGGGCTGGTGCCTATGTCCAGCGGTCAACGGGCAATCAGGCGGGGTACACTGGACAGAGAGCCAGTCCATCGCAGGACAACACAGAGACACACAATCATGCACACACACACACTCACACCTAAGGACAATTTGGAAAGACCAATTAACCTAACAGTCATGTTTTTGGACTGTGGGAGGAAGCCGGAGTACCCGGAGAGAACCCACGCATGCACAGGGAGAACAAGCAAACTCCATGCAGAAAGATCCCAGGCCGGGAAGCGAACCAAGGATCTTCATACTGCAAGGCAACAGCTCTAACCACTGCACCACTGCGCAGCCAAGTTTAAGTCCCAATAACTGAATTTACTGAGAGACTGAATGATCAGTTAAAACTGAAAGGCAGAGAGGGAATTATCTCTGCCCGCCCCAAAACAATTCTTCTTATCTGAATCTGGCGCCCTGGTCGCCTTGAGCTGAAAGAAAAAACCCTCCACAAACGAATGCAGACGGATGCTGTGAAACCCGCCCTACCCCCCAGGGCTGAACGATCTATCGTTTTTGGCTTGAAATTGTGATTTCAAACAGCACAATCATGTGACCATCAAAGCTGCAGTTTTAGCGGTTTTGACGGATCAAAGATCAGTTGTGTAACTTTTTTTACATCCCGGGACTTCCCCCTGTGTTATGGCGGCGGCAAAAGCCAGCGCGGGGGAGGGGGGTAGGGTGTACCGTCCAGAGCCGAGCCCAACTCCACAGCTGCCATTAGGGATGGGTACCGAATTCGGTACTTTTTAAGGTACAGACCGAATTCCATAGTACCGACCGAGCACCGATTCACGTCATTTCAAACGGTGCCTCGTTTTGGTACCGGTCCTTCATAACGAGAACTTGCCAAGACAGCTGCGCATGCGCAAGAGCGCTATGTCATCGTAAACAGAGCAGCATGGGTAGAAAGAACGAACGCTAAAGCTTGGGTCCACTTCACTAAATGTGATGGGTAACTGGGTGATGATGAAACCAGCGACAACGATCTAAGTGAGACATCCTCATCTTAATCTGCTCCGGTAGGTAAATAAAATGTTTAAGATAACGTTAGCTTGATATGTTAGCTTCCGTTTTGCTAATGGTGCGTTCACCTTCTCCTCGGAACTCCGAATTTCCGACTAGAAGAACATGAATGCGCTCTAAAGTTTGGCTTCACTTTACTAAATGCGACGGGTGATTGGTTGAAGATGAAACCAATGACAAAAATCTAAGTGTGCTGCATCATCGTTTTAATCTGCTCCAGCAGCTAAATAAACTGTTTAAGATAACGTTAGCTTGATATGTTAGCTTCCATTGCCACCGTTGTTATCAGCTAATGGTGCGTTCACTCTCTACTCGGAAATTCTAACTTCCCAGTAGGA